GAGAGAGAGAGAGAGATTTTTATAGGTTTGAATGTATCAGTGCTTCAGCAAACTATTATCTAATCAAGTTGCCATTGTCAGGAGCCTCCTTGTCAAACTTCACCACATTCAGATGCCACCATCAATCCTTCCATTGAAAGTTCAGAGGCACGAAATGTCACACAGGTGAAGGCGCTACCATGCAATACACAAAACAAATTCCAAGTAACAGAAGAACAGAGAGCTAGGATGGAGGCTAACAGGCTAAAGGCCTTAGAGAGAGCTGCCTCGAGAAAATCTCAACTTTCTCAAGCACAATGATGCTCACTCTTGTGAGTTTCACTTGGTTATTTCTTCTGCATGTCATTACTCATTATATATCTCTGTTTTTCTAGTTGCATTTTGTTGCTATTTCATCCGCTATTTGCTTTTAAATTTATGCTGTTCTGGCTATATTTGCTGCAGATTTATGTAGCTATCACAGTCAATGAAATTTCTGCTTTATTTTTCCTTTTGCTGTCGGTTATTAATTTGTCGACTCATGAAATCTGCATAATTTCACTGTAATAACAACATTTGTACCTGTTCTTTAGGCTATATAACACTAAGGATTTGTGTACTGTAATTTATGCAAAAACTTGATCAGATTTTCATCTAATGCTGTGGCTGGGCATTAAGATATAACATTCAAAATTTCTGCTGTAATCTTGAGTTTGTGAGCTCTCTGTCCATAATAGGAAGGCTGGTGACACACACACACACACACACACAATGTCTGGTGGTTTTCTGGGACCCAAACCTTGGCTATTATGTGGCAGCCCTTACATCCCCAATGCTAGTGCATGAGTGTTCAACATGTTATGCTAGTATTTATTTGAGTCTCTGCTGTGTACATGGTAAGGTGCTTATGCAGTCTTTGAAAGGTGAAATCATTGTGGTTGGTAAAAACACCCTTTATTTGAAGAGATGTCTTGCTAGGATTTACTGAGGATTGTCACTGTCCATTTGCGATGTAAATGCATTTGGACTATAAGATTATTGGGACCCATAGTTTTTAACTTGGATAATCCTGTGTATTATTGCATTGTTTAAAAAACTGGAATTGAGTCCTTATTGGATTGGTCGCTGCCTAGTCATCCTTAAACATTAAGAAAGACAAAGAAAAATAGAAAAAAAGGAGTCACTTGGGATTCAGGAATCTTTTGACACCCTCACTGAACCAGTCAGTTTGCTAAAGTTAGGGCTTTTGCAAGGGTTGGCCAGGCCTTGCCTGAACACAGCTTGATTTTTTTTGCCAGGGGCTGGGCTTGCTGAGACTGATTGGCAGTCCTAGCTATGATGGGCTACCTGGCTCTGGACAACTCACTGTGATTCTTGGTTTGGGTTCATTTGGAACCAGGGACCCCTGGAGCCCACTCAGGCAACTTCAAGTTGGCTTGCTAATTTTTTGACTATTGCTAAGAAAATTCATTGTATGTGGAATCATCACTATTCATTGAAGTGGTGGATTTCGATGGGGAAAGTTCAGGATGGACCAGTGGATTATGTGTTTGCCATAGTCCATGTGATTATAATGGACTTGTACATTTATTACATGAAAAATCTTTGGGAGCTGAAATATGCTAAACCTATTGTTTGTTTGGGGAGCAACTACAATTGTGACCCATCCAAATAAAGAAGGAAAACTCTACCATGTGATGGGGGTGCATTTCTACTTTTGGGGCCCCTAGGCATAAAGCATTCATGTTAAAGATGGATGCAAATGGGTGATCCATCCAAAAGTAGTTGTAACTAACAGTCCAGATATTTTCTTCATAAAATTATTATTTTTAATTGTTAAGATTTATTTATTTTTACATACTCGTGATCTTCATGTTAGAGATTATATATTCTTTAAAAATTGGGTAAAAAAGTCCATCTAAAAAATGGATGTTTAAGAATGGACTCATCACTACATGTTCCTTCGACTCATAGAAACTGTGTCCAATAAAGAAATGTTATTTATTGGAATCTAATTTACCTTAGGAAGTAGGAGTTGAACTAAAATCCATAAGTCGCTATTTAACAATATTTACTGGGCTAATTTTTTTCTCGTGTGAGTTTGCAAATAAATTTATCTCCAAGTTCATAATTTTATCTAAAATTTCATAACATTGCTATTTAAGAAGATAGAGTTATTTCTTATTATTTATGCCACGGTTAAGCTTTGAAATCAAGTAAAATTAAGCATTGACTTTAAAGCCCTTCAGAATGGTTGCAAACTACATGTTTCTACCCTCAAAATTGTAAAAGAAGAAAGGTTGGAGATTTTTGGAGTCTTTCATCCTCGTGAATTTTGGTGGTTAGGGCTCTGTGGTTGTATCATAAAGATTCCAACCCCATATCGACCTTCATAAAGAAAGTCAAGGGGAAGGGTCTTTATAAGTGATGCTCGGAGAGAGAGAGAGAGAGAGAGAGAGAGAGAGTTTGGTTTCCTTAATTTACAATGAAGAAGGTATAAGTAAGTTCCTTAAGAAAGTTTAGGATGGTAACTGTTTGTTGTGCCGTGTTAAGGGAAGCATACTGCTTTGGTAGTTGGGCTGCATTTCTCTTTTATTTACTTTGGTAACTTGTCCATTGATTTCTTTGCCAATATGTATCATCTGAAGAATTCTATTACCAAAATCAATAGACATTGCTGGAGATAATTGCAGAGGGAGCAAATATGACTGGTTGGTGGCGAAGGAGTGATGGTTGGAGTCCTAACAAAGTGTCGGTTGGAGAGAGTCTTAACCCGTTCAATCAAATTGGTCAGTGAAATGCTGAAGGGATCGGTCTAATAAAAAAAAGTTGAACTGCTAGTCATATTGGTTTGATTGGCTTTTAGAATATAAAGAAAAATATGTACAATATTTTTAAAAAATATATATAATGGGAAAAGGCTCTTTTCAATTTTGTTTGGCTAATTCATCGAAATTGGAATTGGTCAAAATTGATCAAATATTAGTTTTGATTAGCTTTTTATTAAAGCATATTTTTAATTTAGACCAAAGTAGTCAAGATACCGATCAATGATTCGGTATAGTGTTAAATAACTATGGTCTTAATGAAACCGATCAATGATCCGGTCTAGTGTTAAATAACTATGGTCTTAATGAGGAGAGTTAGAGGCATTAATGAAGATAGTTAGAGGCATGAGACAAACTTGAAGAATGTGATGAGAAAATGTGGTAGGTTATATGTGTAGTCTAGATCAGTGAATAAAAGGACGGGACTCAGCCCATAGATGAGCTGAGTAACTTGGGCTGCGTTGGATCGAGCCTGACCAAGCCAAAAAATGTTAAAAAATGTAAAAAAATATAAAAATATTTTTCAAGTAAAACTAATAAAACACATCTAAATGAGGTTAAAAAAATTAGTAAAAAACGAATTTTGAAAAAATCAGTTTGCAATGAGGGTATTTTAGAAATAATCCAAAAAGAAGGGAAAATGTTAAAATAAATATTTATGATCAAAACACTTTGTAAAATGCATAGAAACTTGTATTATGTATAAAATTCTTATTTTTTGAATATAATTTTTTATTTTTATTAAGATCCCTATGTGGGGCCACACGAGATACTTTGACTTAGGCTCGTCCAAGTTTTTCTACACTGGCCTAGAGTCTAGATACATTGCCATTTCCGGTACTCATATGGCAGGAGGGGAGCCTTTGTTTAGGCCTGCGGGTCATTCGGGAGAATTGTGTGACCTTGTCTCGATACAAACCTTATGGGTCCCTCAAAATATTTACTGCCGACGTGAAGAAAGAAAGTGGCCCAAGTGTCCCTTGTTTTACAAATTCAATTTCCCTTCACTTATGGAACGATTTATTTTGTCTTAAAAACTAGCGATTACGCTTGAAGTTGCTCAATTTGATTAGAAACTAGTCGCAACTGTCTTGATTATATTGAAATTGGGGATTAGTTTGATTTTGTCAGGAAATTAAGCGATCTGGACCTATTAGATCTCTCTATAACGTATTTGAGTTTTTCATCATTATTTTTTATTTTTTATTATTAGATTTATTTGTAAATTTTATCGACCATTCACATAAAAAAAATGGATTGTATACAATGATATCATTTATCTTTGATACAAAGTGGTCACAATTTCATGCAATTATTTGATGTTAAATTTGATAGCTTGGCTGTGTCACAAAGTTCAAGAAAAATTCTTTTAAAGTTTGAGCTCGGTGAATGGAATAATTGCAGCCACCCAATTTCACATCCAATGGTCAAGATTAATGTGATCACTTTACATCAAAGATAAATGGTGTCGTTCTATATTCTTCTTAAAAGAAATAGTTGGATTGTGGATTTGTCACCTTGGATTGTTTTTTTAGATGATCGGTTTACCCAACCGATCCATATTCAAAACACTTGACCATCTGATTAGGTGAACTACTTATCAGGTGGTCTAGCCTTTAAAAATATAGGAAATATATACAATGAGACCATTTGCTTTTGATACGTGGTAGTCACAATTGTTATTAACCTTTAGATTTAAAAGTAGGTGGTTGATGATGTATCATTGTTTATGTACAAAGTCCAAGACAATTTTTCAAATGTTGTGACACTTTCATTTATTAGATTTCACATCCAATGGATAAAAATGATTGTGACGTATAAAAAATAAATAAATTTATAATATAATTCCAAAAACATAGGGGATTTTTGATGACCACGAAAAGTGCCATTTTTTTTTCATTCACTAGCAGTCTAGCCTGACCCTGTGGAGCTCCAGCCTTCGAAAACTGTCGGGGGATCTTTTTTATCAGCAAACATTTTTAGATCCATCTTTTATTTACCAGCTTGAATGCTTGCTTCGGTAGTCTAGCTCCCAAGAAACTCAAGGGGACTTTTCCTAAATTTTCATATCATCAATGGTTCAGACGAATGATTTCCAAAAGAAAGAAAAAGGTGTGAGCTATGATGACCTTATATTTATTGGACATTTTATATGATGAGCCATGAGTTTTGGCGCTCAAAGACCACAAACACAAGTAATTTGGTATGAATTTGGATGCTCAAGGTAGGCCACTTTCTCATATTAAGTCTAAATAAAATTTTTTCAATCTTTGAACGGGATCAACGGTACATCACCAGCTACTTCACTTCTAGCTGCTAGAAGCGATTGACCTTTGAATATAATTTCGCCATAAAAGAGGGGAATTTATTTGGAGCCTTTTTTGGGTTTAAAACATTTGTTTCATTACTGAAACCTTTAAAAAAGGCATTATTTTTATTTTATGTAAATGGTTCTAAAAGTTTTATAGTACAAAATGTTTGGTGGAAATCAAGGAAAAAGGATTATGGGTTCGGTGGTTACGGCGTGAGGGCCGTAACACAATGTCCGAGGTTTGAATTCTACAAAAATTAGAAAAAGGAGATTAGAGTTTGTTGGTTTGTTTGTTTTCTTTTTTTTTAGGTTTGTTTTTTCCGATTGGGTGGCTCAGTTTGAAATAGAACCTGTACCATTTGGCTTACTCCACCAATAGGACGAGCCACTGACTCTTGAATAGTTCCTTGATATAAAGAAGACTTAAGTATTATCTCAAAATAAGAAAGGTAAATATTTATTATCCATGGTTTATTGAAATAGTTTTCTGGAAGGAAGAGTGGGAAATTATGGAATTGATAAATCGTTTTTGTCTATTGAATGGCCTTATCAAATATATTTGAATTTTGGCAGACCATGTGTCGTAATGAATGTTCAAAAAGTTGGGTTTGGGTTTTTGACTTGCTAGGGGGATTGAGTCCAAATCTCCTTGGTCCAACTTGGGTGAATCTGAGTCAAATAAGCAATTTTTTATATGAAAATTGGAATATTTTGAAAAGATTAGTGAGACTCATTTCATTTTTTGGCTAAAAAAATAAATAAATCAAACTTCTCCATCTCGAGCCAATTTAGACGATTTTGAGTCAGCTAGAGGATTTTTAAATCACCTGATCTGGGGGCTTTTCATGTTTGCTTTGTGGTTATGGTAATGCATTAAGGTCTCAATAATGAATCTTGGCATATTGACCCAAAAGCATTATTAATCTAGTAAAGAAACCCAATTTTTTAAGCTTTGAGATGGTTGTTGTGGGGCAATGAATTGTTTCTTGCCTTATCACCCAAGTAACAGTTTGTTGGTGTACTTAATGATCTTCGTTTACAAAAGATATGAATTAATAGTTTCAAATCTAGATTTTTACTAGAAAAACTACCCTTTGTTTCTGGTTCATCATTTTAGGTTAGTGGTTTGGACCAAAGGTGTGGCGGAATGGTTCATACCTTGACAGATGCAACTAATAAAACTGTAATTGACATGTAATGCATAAGTAACCAATTCTACCATCAATGGAAAATTGTTGTCACAAGGAAAGGGGACATCTATTAAACTCTCAATATATGATGAACTTTTAAACATTTTACTCATTTTTAACTATTTCAACTCACGTATGAGCATCTACTGGGTATTTCAAAATTAAATAAAAAATATTGGTAAAATATTGAATTGTTCATCTCTTATAGGTATTTGGATGAATTTCCCATAAGAAAAATGATCCTATGAGCTTATTCGCCTATGTATCCTATAAGTCAGACAACCAGCATTGGAGGAGAATGGGATGATTAGAAAATTCGGATTTTAAAGAAAAGTTGGGATCTAATAGATCCCAAAGATTTGCGTACAAATAGGTCTCATATGGGCACTCCAAACAAAATGAATTATTATCCTTTGCTATCCATTTTATGCCTTTTCCTTCGATGTTGGCCATCAAGCTTATATTGTACTAGAAGGTTGTCAGCTCATAGAATACTATTTTGAAAGCAGTGTCGCCTCTTGTTTTGATACATAGACGGCATCGGATTTAGGGGTAGTATCAATAAGTGATAAGATGAGAGAGAGTAGACTTAGGTGGGTTGGTCGTGTGTGACGCATGTCCAATATATCACATGTTAGGAGGTGTGAGTTAGTTTAACAGGAAAGGTAAAAAAAAAACAATAGAAAAAGTTATAGTTGGAAGTTGTAAAAAATATAGAGGGATTTATGGCTCCGATAAGGATATAGTTTTTAATAGAGTAAAATAACGGACTAGGTTTACTGTAGCCGTTCCTATTAGTTGGAATCAAGCTTTGACAATGATGATGATGAGATGGCATCAAATCCATACCACTCAAATGCTCAAATCCGAACTTGGGATCATGTGCACATCACAATTGAATGCTCGAACAACCAATTTTTTGTTTGTAATTCGTAAAATGTCATGATGCTCTTTTCAATTGGAATACCTCATCAGTGGTTCAGGATTCTTGGAAACACATATTTTATATATATATATATCTCAAAAATTTGAGCCTATCTCAAAAATTTTACCAGAAGAGGTTGTTTTGATGTTCAAATATCTTCAAATTGATCATCTCAACATCAAGAAGCATGGGCATGAGAAAAAAATAGATTTCAAGTTTTAGAAGTAGTGTATTTTGTAATACATTTTTGGACCGTCAATTTTCAAGATTTCATAGATTTGTCTATCTACACTATTTTTGAAGCTTTAAACT